TGTCTCTTCGCGTTAAAGCTGAAAGTGCAGACCGTAGAAACGACATCTTTCGCGATAACATTCTAAGACTGGGGATTGGAAGGACGGATTAGATCTTGCGGGAACTGGAGAGTCGTTCACGGTAAATATGAGACTCAGCCACATATATATTTTCTTATGTACTTTGAAATGAATTCATTAATGTCACACGGAAACTAGACACGGGCGGCTTTCACCGTTCCCTCGGAACGGCATGGCAATACGGTGATAAAAATTGCTCTCTCGGAGAATCGCTTTGATTAAATTAAGCCGCTTTATTTTATGCGGAGCATTGTGTGTGTGTGTGTGTGTGTGTGTGTGTGTGTGTGTGTGTGTGTGCTAACTAATTTTAATTAAATTTAAAATTCATATTATTTAATTCTTTGTGATCTCGAATAACGACGAGTGGATTCTTCCTCTTTGTAGCTCCCGCGTTGCATAATCGTATTGTTGTGAAATTAAGTAGTCACGCGGAAAGAAATACGCACATATTTGAATATTTGCATTTGTAGCAAAATCGACAATAGATAGCTTGATAACTGCAAACTGCATTATCACGAAATTACCGACGTCCCCATTTTATTCCTATCTTACACACACACACACACACACACACACACACACGTACGCGCACATATATTCACACACAAGTTTATATGCGAGGTCTTAGCGCCGATAGCGGAGAGATCGATAAATCATTATTTCATAATCTAATTATGCCTCTCGAATATCGTAAAGTCCGATAGACCTTCATTTATCAAGGTAATTGATTGAGTACAACGCGAAGATACCGAGGCTCCGCGACTACTATTCGCGTTACTTACAGTGGGATTTTGCCAATGGGCGTGTTAACGATTAATTTGTCCCGGAATTCGACATCTCTCCCCGTGAAATCTCTTCATTGGCGCGAAGACGGCGACTCGCTCCTGCCCCCTTCACCCCGCCGCCTACCCACCCTTTCACCCATCCTCCTCGTCGCTGCTTTTTTGATCTCTTCCCCGGATACTGCCGCTTTTTCCTCTCGCCTTTTGTTTCGAGCATAAAAGAACGATCCCGGCCATTCTGAATCGCGCGCGAGCCAGCGATGTAATTGCCCGTACATACCCCCGTACATACTCCCGCAGAGATCGTGGAATTTAAAAACGGCACGAAGTTCGAGCCCTTTGTACGCGTGGACGGTGATAATTCCCTTGCCCGCCCCAACCCACCCCAACTTTGCGCGCTTTTAACCAAATCGGTCCGTTCTGAATTTCCCAATCGGTGTCGTTATCACGTCGATACACGTGCTCGAAATATCACGGACAGGGAGATCAGTATCGTTTTTTCACAAATAATTCACCCCCACCCCCCTCCTCCTCCCCTTCACACCCCCGCGTATATAGTGCCGCTCGTGTTTTATTTTAAAGCGTCGCGCGGCCACTCTGCAGAAACTAACGAAGCGGGAGTGGAGGGAGGGTGTTTGCGAGAACGGAAAAAGAAATTAAGATTAACCTCGGTCCGCTGCACCCGTGCTGTTATGCATTTTTGTTAATCGCGCACACGCGAGCAACGGTGCCCGGTTCATAGACCGAATCATTCTACCATGGCGGCGCCTTTAATGGGAGAGTGCGGGACGCGCGACTGGTTAATCAATACGTAACGGGCGCCGTAGAGGTGTGCACTTCTCTCGCGCTCCGCTCTAAGGACGCGCCGGCGATCGTTAATTTTATTTCATCTCGATTCCTATTTCCGCGAGAGACAGCTTTTAAATAGGATTTGCACTGCGTGTCGCGATGCTTATCGATAGCCCTTTCAGAACAGCGCGGCGAAACTCTTAATGAGATCGACTGGAGAGATCTTGCGCCGTAGTGGCGGCAGGTGTGTAAAAATTTCCACCGCGGAATTCCGCTGATGATATTTATGACATTACGGGGTTCGTTGAACGAACAGAGCCCGCGGAACACGAAATCGACTTTCAAATATAATGCGGCATCGTCGGAATAAGTTGGCGTATCGCGCTACATCCCGCATAGAAAATGTCTTGGAATCTAATTGGGATCCGATTACCAAAATAATTATGAATTCAAATTAGAAATATCAAAAACATCCCAGAAAATATAATCTAATTCCCCTTAGAATCCTTGTATATATGGTTTCAACAGGATTCTTTTTGAAACTACAAAAGGGAAATATTTTAAGTTCAATATTCTCAAAGACAAAAATTTCGTCTTTTATCTACAAGTGTTACTTGTTTTGTCTCTCGCACGTGAAAGAATATTCTGCTTCAAATAAACATATTTTTGTCAATTTAGAAAGAAGATAATTAGAATAATATCTAGCAGATTCTGGCGCGTGATTAATAGTTCACTTCACTGAATTGGTCCACAGAAGAGGAATATTCTTTCGGTAAAAGTTTTTGTTTAGAATATAGGATTACAGAAAATAAGATCCTGCAACTAGAGTTCTTGGTTGGAGGAAGTTTAGAGTATATTTTCCTTTTGTTTCAGAATATTTTACGTATATAAAAAGAGTGCATATACTTTTTTTTTAAGCAATATATAAAAAATGTTGTAACCAGACCAGTACGTATTTTACGAGAAAACTTATGTTTGGAATAAGAATAGGATTCCTGATTAATATCGCAGGGGAATAATCAATTTTGAGACAAATTTAGACATTTTAATTGGAAATTATGTTTAACCTGGGATAATCTTGGAAAGTTTCTATGCTTAGTTAGAAGTGCAATGTTTCAAATCCACGATTCTGAGTGGAAAATCTAAAATTTTTCGTACTTTCTCTATAGACCTTATTTTGCAGTAGAATTAAACGAAAAACATGTGGACTTTCCAAGTTATTATATTATTCAATAAAATACTCGGTGTTTTAAAAATATTTCGTTTTGATTTTTTATTGTATTAAATAAAATAGTTAGTATAAAAATGACTATCTCCCTGTCTGACACCATAAAAGTACACTTACTGAATGAAACAAAGCTCATATATTTTTGTTTTGATGCGAGAACTTATATTTCGGACAAGAATAAAATTCCCAAGTATCATCCAAATAGTATCATAATAGAATATCCAATTTTGAGACAAATATGGACATCCTAATTGGAATCTATGCTGCACCTGGGAAAATCTTGAGAAACATCTAGTTGAAGTCGCAGTTGACAACATGTTGACTTTCTAAGTTATTATATCATTCAATAAAACACTTGGTGTTTTAAAAATATTTCGTTTTGATTTTTTATTGTATTAAATATAATAGTTAGTATAAAAATGACTATCTCCCTGTCTGACACCATAAAAGTACACTTACTGAATGAAACAAAGCTCATATATTTT